TGTACTGCTAGATCTATCACTGTTACTAACCGTATATATTTAAAATGTGAAGTGTCGCGCAGGGAATTGTGCGAATGTCAATTTACGTTTTTTTTACTGTCAATTATATGAGGACTTTTTCCTTTTCACTTCCAAAAACTGTAAATTTAACGATATTTTACGGTACAATTGTACATGTACTGTTAGATCTATCACTGTTATTAACCGTATATATTTAAAATGTGAAGTGTCGCGCAGGGAATTGTGCGAATGTCATTTACGTTTTTTTTTTCCTGTCAATTATATAGGACTTTTTCCTTTTCACTTCCAAAAACTGTAAATTTAACGATATTTTACCGTACAATTGTACATGTACTGTTAGATCTATCACTGTTATTAGCCGTATATATTTAAAATGTGAAGTGTCGCGCAAGGAATTGTGCAAATGTCAGTTTCCGTTTTTTTTTCTGTCAATTATATAAGGACTTTTTTCCTTTTCACTTCCAAAAACTGTAAATTGAACGATATTTTACCGTACAATTGTACATGTACTGTTAGATCTATCACTGTTACTAACCGTATATATTTAAAATGTGAAGTGTCGCGCATGGAATTGTGCGAATGTCAGTTTACGTTTTTTTTTTTTTTTTTTACTGTCAATTGTATAAGGACTTTTTCCTTTTCACTTCCAAAAACTGTAAATTTAATTTAATTTTACGGTACAATTGTACATGTACTGTTAGATCTATCACTGTTATTAACCGTATATATTTAAAATGTGAAGTGTCGCGCAAGGAATTGTGCGAATGTCAGTTTACGTTTTTTTTTACTGTCAATTATACAAGGACTTTTTCCTTTTCACTTCCAAAAACTGTAAATTTAACGATATTTTACCGTACAATTGTACATGTACTGTTAGATCTATCACTGTTATTAACCGCATATTTCAAATGTGAAGTGTCGCGCAGGGAATTGTGCGAATGTTAATTTACGTTTTTTCTCTGTAAATCATACAATGACTTGTTCTTTTTCACTTACAAAAACTATATTTTACTGTAAAATGTACGGTTAGATCCATCACAGTTATTCATCGTATATAGTATATACAGTATATTGTATAGAAACCAATAAACAGTTTTTCACCGCAGCATTACCGTTAAAATCACCGTTAAAACTTTTTTTACCGTTAAAATCGTCTTTTACCGTTAAAATCACAATAATTTCAGTTTGTCATTGGTTTGCACTGAGGCTTCAAAGCAAATTCTCAATCAAACCTCATTCGTTGCCCAAACAGCATCATAGTGTCGGCCCAGATCCGGTATACACATGAAATCCACACGGCTCAGATGCGGCCCGGATCTGGGCCGACTGTCTGATTGAAATGCTTAATTTGGCTATTGTGCATCTTTTTGACGTTTCTCTGTCTTCTTGCTTTTTCAGGCCGTGCTGAAGTCAGCGAATGCAAGTGTTTCCATGACATGTGTGATGTTTTCGAGAAGACCTTTTACTACCTGTACCCCTTCAACATCGAGTACAGCCTCTTCGCCTCCGCCTTGGCCTACGTCATGTGGAAGAACGTGGGCCGCAACATGGATGAACACCACAGTCACAAGCTGCGCTTCAGCCCATGGGACGTCCTAGTCGGGCCAGTGGCGGGTCTGATCATCCTAGTGGCGGGTCTGGCAACATTCGTGGTTTACGAGGTGGACGTGGCCGAAGGAGACCCGAAAAAGACGGAGGGGGCGCTAATAACGCATTATATAATGAACATAGTTGCCATCATTCTCATGTCCATCACGTGTCTGATCGGTTGTGTGGTTTTCCGCATGGATAAGAGGGAGCAAGTGTCAGGAAAGAACCCAACGAGGAGTCTGGATGTCGGGCTTCTCGTGGGAGCGTCTTTAGGACAGTTCCTCATCTGTTACTTCATTATCGTCGCGGTTCTGGCGTCGGGGGTCATGGGGAGCACGAACAGACTCAACCTGGTCTGCGCTATCCTGACCGTGATCCAGTTGTGTCTCCAGAACGCCTTCATCATCAAGGGCCTCCACCGGGAGCCGTTCGTCGAGACGGAGACCAGCACCGTCTTCGCAAACGTCATGGCCGTGAGAGAGAGAGACCCGGAGAGGAGGAGCAGCTCGATCGTCCCGGCTCACACGCTACCCATCCCGCTGGGGATCCTCCAGGGTCGCCTCTCCTGGAAGAGGAGGATGATTAAGGAGATCTGCGCATTCCTGTTGCTCTGCAACATCATTGTGAGTATCTGACCCTTGATACTTTTGAATGAGTTAAGGTCCTTGCACACCGATTGTCGCACGTTAAAAAATAAATACGACCTCAATCGCTTCTGAAACTTCCAACCGTCATAAAAAAATTCAATTATCTGCGTTTTTCGCAAGTGTTTTGAGAGACATTTTGACAATTCAGAGCCACTGAATGATGAATATGGAAAAAAGTCCTATTACACGATCATTTTTTTTTTTTACACAAAGCTTAAAATTAGGCCGTTTACAGCTGGTATTGAGATGCGTTTTGGTCAATCGGGTCACAAGTGGACGACGCTAAACACAGGTGTAAACTTGAGCTTGTCCACTTTCAACCACTTCCAGACTGGATTCGACTGGATTGCTTTCGTAGTGTAAACACTTGTGATTGAATGTGTTCAAAAGGTCGTCGTACTGACGTCATGAGAAGAGCTCTAGACAGAAGGGGTTAAACTTTGACAGATGAAGACCCAAGTTTGTTTTGAAGATGAAAACATACCAAGCACAATGTTCTCTCACCATTCCTGATTTCTAACACACACTCCCAGCATTCGGCTGGTCTCGAGTCTGTCAGAGCAGAAACTAAAGCTGATGCTCTCCGTGTGTTTCTCCGTCGTCTCTGGACAAGCAATCGGACAAGCTTATTGTGTCCATTAGATCAAAGATCTGAAGAAACCCACACATTTACCCATCACAGACCCTCAACTCGAAGAAATCAGGACAGAAGTGTTTGAAAGTGGACGAAAGAGACGAATTAAAACACCAGGAGTGAACGGTTACGGGAATGTTTCCCTCGCCCACTTGTGATCCGATCCACCAAAACGCATCTTAACACCAGGTGTAAGAGAAATCACCTCGATCATTTTAACGATGGTTCCATTCTCTATTTTGTCTTATTTGCCTTAATTTTGACAAGCCTGCATTAAAATTTTGTTTGTTTCAGAATGCGTTTGTGTCTTTAAAACACCAGTTTTATATTGGAATTCTGAACGCTTGCATTTGTGTTTTGTAGCTCTGGATCATGCCCGCCTTCGGAGCCCGGCCTCAGTTCGACAACACCGTCGGGTCGGATGTGTACGAGTTTCAGACGTGGGCGGTTGCGGTGAACATCGGGATGCCGTTCGGGATCTTCTACCGGCTGCACTCAGTGGCCAGTCTGTTCGAGGTGTGCCTCACCTCATAAACCCACTGACCACTCATGAACTGAACGGGCTTATGCACATTGTAATATATATATATATTTTTAATAGTATATTTTTGTTTGGCTGAAAGGGAGATTTTGTACTACATTTTTATTGGTGTGTGTGTACGTGTGTGGAGATGTAGACCATGTTGAACTGAAATCTTTTAATATGTGAATAAATATTTTCTGAAATATGGCCCCTGTTACAGATGTTGGCAATGCAGTGAAATCCTCAGGAAGTAGATCTTGCCCTCTCATTCCCAGTTTCTGTTTATTCTGATCACTATGTGTCCAGATTAAAGTGAGCACACATATTGCTGTACTCAACCTGTTTTACTTATGCTCTTCTTCATTGTGAATAAATGAAGCCTGAACACAAAAACGTGACACAGTGAGAAGTGTTTTTTTTTGTACTCTATATTCTCTCAATATATATTGGGACAAATTTTGCACAAACATTAAAACACATGTACAAATGCAAAGTCTTGATCTGCTCCACAAACTCTCTTATAAATACTGCAACAAATGAAGAGAAACATTCGGTTTACAGTTATCGGCACTTTAAACAATAAGATGAACATATGCAGAAATTCACACACCACAAGCTAATCTTTCTATTTGATTGTTTGTCATATTTATCATATATGTAGCCAGTAACTTCAAACATCAAGCGATATTTACACGATCTCATTAGCAAAACTGATATGCAGACAAAAATAGAGATATTGATATACCATCAAACAGCTGCGATATAATACTTTTTTTTGTACATTTTCATGATATATATGAATACTTGTGGAGTCATCTAAACCAGCTTTTGATTTTCCTCCAGTTATTTGTCATTCCTGTCTAGACTAGTATAGTGAAAATTTGGAGTAATGTATATGTTCCAACAAGTAACAAAAAAGGAGGATTCAGCAATATCGCCCTCTTGTGGTGATATTAATACAATCCAAAGGTCAATGCTTGATAACTTCTAAAAGCTTCCTAGAAATTATTCACAAGTTTTTTTTACGATGCTATAAATAGCATTCCTTCTGATAATAAGGACTTGTTTCCTATAAAAACCACAGTGAGAGAGAGTTTCACATGTCTGGGCTGCTGCTGCACACAGTATGCTTGTATTACGGGAGCGTATGGTTATATATAGACGCGTTATCATCTGAACCGCAGCCAGAGCTGGCGGGTGGACTGGCACCTTCAGTGGAGTCTCGCAGGCGAGAGCGAGTCGCCTCTTCTCTGGGGAACGGGTAAGAAGGATAAGGCCGGACGAGGTCTGCGGGCTCTCGGTGTGACGGGTCATCTTTACATCCTCTGGATCTCAAAGAGACGCACGTCGGTGTCGTACCAGATCGGAGGATCCACATTCCTGCAGTGAGAGGAGAAACCACATCAAACTCACCGTTGTGTTACAGTTACTCGGCTGAGAACAACTGATTCAACGTGCCACAGTCACACACACACACACACATTTCGGACCTGTTCTTACAGAAAGAAACAGACCCTCTAATAATAATACTACAAAAAAAAAAAATAATAATAATAATAATAAAAAAATTAACAAATATAAAAAAAATATATATATATATATATATATATATATATATTAAAAATAAATAAAAATAAAATATATTTTTAAATACATTTTAAATAAAATAAAATGAAATAATTAATAATAAATAAATAATACATATTATGCAATGTACTATGTAATCTGACCTGCCCAAACCAAAACTGAATGGACCCTCTAATAAATGAAATAAAAAAAAAAAAAAAAAATCGTTTTAAATAAAATAAAAATAAACTGAATTTAAAAATAAATTTTATTTAATTAAAAATATATTAATTAATTAATCAAAAATTAATCAATAAAATTTAAATGAAATGAAATTAAAAATTAATTAAAAATTAAATGTAATAATAATAATTAATAATAAATAAATAATACATATATTATGCAATGTATTATGTATTACGCAATCTGACCTGCCCAAACCAAAACTGAATGGACCCTCTAATAAAATAAAATAAAATAAAATAAAATAAAATAAAATAAAAATGTAAAAAATATATATATATATATATAGTTTAAAATAAAAATAATAATAATATGAATTTAAAAATAAATTTTATTTAATTAAAAATAAAAAATTAAATACAATTTAAATATATTTTAAAATAAAATTTAAATTAAATGAAATTAAAAATTAAATGTAATAAAAAGAATTAATAATAAATAAATAATACATATATTATGCAATGTATTATGTAATCTTACCTGCCCAAACCAAAACTGTGTCAAAAACAATTGTATGCTAAGAGTCATGCAAGAACTCTTTTCAAATATACAATATTTAATAACAAAATATTCTGTTTGAAATAATGTAGAGTGGGATTCGATTTGATCTGTCGGGACTGTATTGGACATGTGAAAAAAAGGACATTCATTCTATTATGTTGTTTAATATTATTCTGTTATGCGTTATGAAACCATCTTCAAGTCAGAGGAACTGGATGCATATTTGAATCCTGATCTGAATTCTGACTTATGAATCATAATCATACACTGTTCGTTCATTGGCCAGAGGAGAACTGAGTGACTTTTCTCTATGATCTTGCCCCTGTCGCCTCTGGCTTGCTAAATATTCATCAGTATTATTGATCTGCCTGCACTGACGATGACATCACGGTTTCTCCAGAACTGCTTTATAGATGAAATGAACTCATTTAATAATTGATGATCTTCACAGTGGAACTGAATCAACACTGAGTGACGTCAGCAGAACAATGCCACTGTTGTCTTTCAGAGCTGCTGTACAGCCGAGATGAACTCTGTTTGCACCATTGAATCATTTTCCTGTCGTCACTGTAAAGGCCTGTTCACACCGGGACGAATTTCGAGCGCGATATTCGCTGACGTTTAACGCCTCGCGACTAAACAAAGGGTGCCAATGTGAGTGTGCACACCGATGCGGAAAACACCACGCGTAAAAGCGTCATTTTTTTAAAAATACCTCTCGTTTTTTTTTTAGTTTGACGCACCGCGTCAAAAACTATCCGACCAATGAGATTGGCGCTTTTGCTCACGTGTTTGGAGCTTCTAAAGTTACCGTAAAACACAACTTGGGGGCGCTCAAACACAAAGCGGTCTTGCCGAGCACACATATGCAACAGCGAAGAAGATATACGCCAAGTAGCGTCGACGTCGACACAGCCAGGAAGAAATAAAATGAGTAAGATGTTGCGGAGATGAGGTTATCACTCCGCCCAAGTAGCAGTGCTTCGCCTTCTGAGCATATAGTTCCCAATATTTATACGGTTAAAAGATGGCTTTGTCTCATATGACCATGTTATTTGTACACTATGTGACTGTACAAAACACAACATGTAAATAGGAATATGTTTGCGTTATTTTGTCACTTATTTGGGATCAGTATGCAACTGCAACCATTTACTTCCAGTCTTTGTGCTAAGCTAGGCTAGCGGTGGGTGCGTTAGACAGAGTTACAGCACGCACGGAAATGAAAAAGGTATGTATGGATTTATCTAACTCTGGGGGATACGTCCCAAAATGTCGGAGTGTTCCTTTAAAGCAGAATGCAAAGAGAAAATAATCGTGAGGAAAAGGAGTAGATATTCTTGTCGCGTTAAAATACCAAGTGTTACGTTATTCTCATGCCGTCTGAAAAGGAAACATGAAGGGAAACTGACAGCTCGTTCAGTCGAACTCACGGATCAGAGTTATTTGTAGGGCAACTTATGATTTGAAACAAGCGTGCCGCACAAGCCCTGAAAAGTGAAACCAGATCGCCCCCCGGTGGCCGGTCCCAGTATAGGCCATAAACCCCGCCTCCCCGTGTTATTCAACGGCACGGAGACGAACTAATCAATCAAATTACATTTCAAATATCGTTTTTCCAAAGATGGTTTCTGTCACGTTTATACAAACAAAATAAGTTTGTTTTAGTTAGTTATTTGATGCCGTGGTGTGACATCATGATTGACAGGTCCTCAGAGCGAAGTAGTCACTGAAGCACCAAGAGATTTTTTTTCTATAATTAATTAAAAACAAAGTGCCGGAGCGTTTGCTTGCGATTGATTCTGCGAGAGTGAGGGCGGGGCCTTGATTTTGCGGTTTTACTTCCTGTTCAAGACTACACATGTCTGGTCCCGAGATCGCTTCTGCGCAGACTCAAGTCCCAAGATGTCAGCGCCATATCAGGACACTGGCGGCTTCACTTCTGAGCAATGGAAGAGAGCGAAGGGGCGTCGTCCATGTTTTTTACAGTCGATGATTTGAAATGATTGTCGTGTCAGGCTTTTTGAGCTAAAGTTCCCCCCACCCATGACTGAAAGCACAGCAAGCTCATCAGGAATAAGGTGGATCGTATGATTTCATGCCCAGAAAGCCAAAGACACACTGTGATGTAACACTTACCGCAAGTAAATGACTCCCCACATGTACGTGCGAAACCACATGGCGGTTCCCGCGTTGGCCTGGTATTTCCGGATGAGAATGGGATGGGGAACGGGAAGCAGACCCACCAGAGTGCCATGCTGGAGAAACTTCAGGATCTCCGATTCATCCGTCAGACCCCTGATGAGAGAGACACGTCGTCACATTTGCACATCACACCACATGCCACTACCAACGGCTACTCTCCTCTTACTTGTCAATGCAGATTTTCTCCACCTGTGGCACCAGTACTTGCAGCAAGCGCATGATGGTTTGCAGTGGGAGCTTACTCTTCCAGGACAGGACCTGTGATTTGAGTGCAAATTAAAAAGTCTTGATGAAACTAAAGCATTTTCTTCCATATTGTGATTTGTGTTATGCAACAGGTTACTGTTCCCCTGTTTCTGATTGGATGTCGAGGGTTTAGGGGCGGGGACTAAAGCAGACATAAGTTTTGTTTAATCAATGATATTTTGATTATAAATTAGATTTTTTTTATTGTGATGTCTCATCAAAACATGCATAATATGTTATGTTATATAATAAAAAAATGAAAAAATTAAAAATAAAACTGACAGTAATTCCTGCAGTCAACACTTGACCTAATTTCTAATTTTTATTAGAATACAGATTACAAACATACAATCATCACAGTTCGTAAACAGAAATTATACAGCAAAAAAAAAATAAACAGAATAAAATTAATTGAAAAATAGATGAAAAAATAATAAATAAATAAATAAATATACATAGCTTAAATAGACAGACTTACAAACTAACTATAACAAGAGAAATATATTCCTAGATTTTCACTTAAATATTTTAGAGTATAATTCAGTTGCTGATATCGCTTTCTTATTTTTAACCCTTGACGTCAATTCCGTATCCTTATCCTAAAGGCAGTGATGATGAAGTCATCTTACCCAGTCGGGTTTGGGATTCCAGTGGCTGACGGATGATGAAGAGCTGGACAGACGTCTCCTCGCCATCTCTGCCTCGGTGTAGAAGACATCCTAGCAAGAGAATCACTGTTATCACCTGCGTTTGAAGAGCGAGTAGTGAACGTGACCGTGTGCGTCGGCTCCTCTGACCTCAGTGTCTCGTCCTGAGATGGACTCTGTGTCGCTGGTTCCCGCCGCAGCGCTGTGCTCAGGGGTTTCTGGGTATTCGGCCTGTGGCACTGCTATCATAGTACCGTCTTCTGAAACCTGGGACTTCTCCGTCAGTTT